AGGATTAAACCAGGCTACTCCTTGGAGGCAAGGATTCTGGGGCTTCGTCTGACATACTTTGGACATGTTGTAAGAGAGGAACATCATGCTTGGGAGGGTGGAGTGACAGTGCAGGAGGGGAAAGACCCTCTATGAGTTGGATTGATTCAGTGACTAGGGTAATCAGGATGGGTGTGTCAGAGGCGGTGCGATTGGCTCAAAATTGAGCACTGTTTAGTGCTGTTGTACAAAGGATCGCTATGAGTCGCAAGCGACTCGATGGCACATAACGACAACAACAACAACAACCCTCATTAACTGACTTTACCATGGGCATGAATGGGAATATGCAAATAGGGCATGCTATCTGACCACTAGCAAAGAGGAAGCAAGAGAATGCAGCATGTCCTTTGGGGCCAGAGATTCTTGTGTCAGTCAGACAAGGGCCCCTGGGAGTAGCAGTCATAACAGCTGCAGGGGAGAAACAGAGACCTGGCATGGATAGAGGGAACCTTGGGACTGCTACACAGGTGAAGCAGAGCTAAGGGCCTTTAGCTTAAGTTTTTTGGAGAACTGAAGGGCAGAGCCATTACTGGCAAGACTAAGAGCTTTGTAACACTGGCCTAAGGCTTCAAGGCTCAAAGCTGAGGAGCATGTTTGGGAAGCTGTCTTGCCTGCATGACTGCATCTTGTTGCCAGCAAGAATTATAGCCTTTTGACTTCCCTAATAAGGTTCTGTGTGGTCTGTGAGCTAGTGCATCAGACTTCGGACCCAGTAGAGCAATAAGATTGGTTTCGGGATGAGCAAAAAATAGGTTTGGGAGTGTGGGGGACATGTTTGACTCTATGGGAACTGGTTTTATGTTGTTATGTTGTTGACAGGAACAGTTTTCTGTTTTGAAGTTGGTAAAGGTCAGATATAGTCATCCCCATGTGGCCCTTGCTCATTTTACAAAAGGCATTTGACTATTTGCATCTAAATAAATTATGGACAACATTGAGTTGTTGTTGCTGTTGCTGTTAGGTACCATTGAGACAAGTATGACTCATAGAGAACCTGTGAACAAAAGATCTGAACCGTGTTCTATCCTGCACCATCCTCACACTTCCTGACACACAAGAGCCCATTGCAGTAATCACCATGTCAATCCACCTGGGTGAGGGTCTTCCTCTCCTTCACTGACCCTCCATCATGTCTCTCTCCAAGGAATAGCCCCTCCTAGCATCATGCCCAAAGTATGTGAGATGAAGCCTCATCATTCTTGCCTTCAAAGAACATTCTGGCTGCACCCTTTCCAAGACATATTCGTTCATTCTCTTGGCAGTCCATGAGCTGTTCAGTTCTCTTCTCCAACACCACAGCTCAGAGGCATCAGTTCTTTTTCTGTTATCCTTATTTCTTGCCCACCTTTAAGAAAAGTAGGAATTCCAAAATAATTAATTGTGCTTGTGAGAAAGCTACATAGATCAAGAATAAGTTGATGGAAAAGAAAACAAGGAATACTTGATGGAGTACAGTCAGGATAGTTGTGTGTTCTATTTCTAACCATTCTCCATACCTATTCAATCTGCATGCTGAACAAATCATTCAAGAATCTGGACTATATGAAGAATGTGGCATCAGCATTGGAGAAAGACTCACCAACAGCCTACAACGTGCAGATACAACTTTGCTGAAACTGAAGACTTGAAGCACTTTCTATAGAAGATCGAAGACTACAACTTTCAATAAGAATTACATGTTAATACCGAGAAAACAAAAATCCTCACAACGGGGACCAATAAGCAATATCATGATAGATGGAGAAGGAGTAAACCCGTAGAGAATTTCATTTTACTTGGATCCAAAATCAACACATGTGATAGCAGCAGTCAAAAAATCAAAAGCCATGTTGCATTTGGGAAATCTGCTTTCAAAGTCTCTTTGAAGTTATAAAGAGCAAGGACGCAACTTCAAATACTTTAATGTGCCTGATCCAAGTCAAGGTATTTTCAATTGCTTCATAAACATGTGAAAGCTAGACAAACAATAAGATAAACCAAAACCAAAGATAAATTGATGATTTGGAATTTTGTTGTTGGTGAAGGATGTTGAATATACCATAGACTATCAAAAGACCAAATGAATTTGTCTTGAAGAAAGTCCAAGCAATATACTCCTTAGAGACAAAACAACAACCTCATTGCCTTCAAATCAGAACCAAATCTTAGTTGACTGTCTAGCAGGCTTTCAGAGGCTGTGAATACACAGAAAGTTGCCTTCTTTCTCCCGTGGAGCAGCTGGTGGATTTGAACTGCCTGCCTTTGGGTAGGCAACACTATTCTTGACTCACTAGTTCACCAAAGCTCCCTTCTTAGAGAAAAGGATGGTGAACCTCTCACATATTTTGGGCACATTGTCAGGAGAGCCCCATCACTGGAGAAAGACATCATAATGGGGAAAATAGAGGATCAGTGAAGGAGAGAAAGACCCTCAACGAGATGGAACGGTACAGTGACTGCAGCAGTGAACTTGAACATGGCAGAGACTGTGAGTGAGGTGCAGGACAGGGCACCACTTGGATCCATGCATAGTGTTTCTGTGAGTTATAGTCGACTCACTAGCACATAACAACAAAGATAAAATTACATCCAGCACCTTTCCAGAGTAATTTTTTGAACATTCATATAAACTTTTCAGGGAAATGTAATGTTTATCCAAGTCCTTTGCCATTTTCCAACTAGGTAGTTGTGTTTTTATTATGTGGCTGTTGTTATGTGCTGTCTAGTTGGAAATGACTTATAACTGACCCTCTAAAGGGTTTTCAGAGGCTACTCATTGCACAGGAAGAGATGGCTCATCTAATTCCTGTGGAGCAATTGTGGATTTATTTGAACCACTTGCTTTTGGGTTGGTAGCACAACTCTTTACAAACAACACAGGAGAAGATTGCTCATCTTTCTCCTGTAAAGCAGCTGGCGGAATAGAACCAGGTGTCTTTATGTTGGCCGCCCAACTCCATATCACTGAGCCACCAGTGGATGCCGTTGATACCATCTAGATGGAACCCACCCATAGCTGACCGTTGGGTGGGTTTTCAGAGACAATTAATCACACGAGAGGAGACTGGCTACCTTTTGCCCATGAAGCAGCTGGTGGATTGAAACTACATGCCTTTGAGGTTGCAGCACAGCTTCTTACTAGTAGGGCTCCAGAGCTCCTTTTATTTTAGATATTAAAATGTTGGCATCTATATGACTCTCAAAGATACTCTCCCAATCTGCAGGTTGTGATTCTGACATTTTAGTCACTCATTACTATTTGTTTAACATTAAAATAAGTAACTCTTCCAGAAGTGATGAGTGATAAACTCGTCTTAAAAAATGTGGGACAAACCATTTGGAGACAGCGCTGAAGCTTTCAAGACATTCTACCTGTTGCAATCAAGTCTATTCTGACTTAACAGCAGACCTCATAGAACCAGTAGAAGTGCCCCCTAAGGTTTTCCTGTAATCTTCAAAGGAAACAGACTGTCACATCTTTTTCCCACAAGAGGCGCTGGTGGGTTCCAACCCCCATCTTTTAGCTAGCAATTGAGTGCTTAATCACTGCGCTATCAGGGCCCCTATCCAACACATTCTAAGCAATGTATGATACTATTTTATCAAGAAATAACTAGCCTGTTCACTCGCCACAATTAATTAACAATTAATTGTTAATTGAAACATCTGCCGCCTTCTTCTCAGGGACGGGCATTCTCAAGGATCGTTCCTGGGGTTGGTAGGAGAGCGTTTTCACGTGCATCCATCAGTTCCTTTCCCTTGAACACTATCTGTAATTGTCTCTAACACTCATAGTAAATCTGCTCCCCCGAGAGATTTTGCCCACGCTCCCAGACAGGGTTCGTATCTGTTCTTCACAGGGTCAGTAGGAGTTGTGCACGACTCAGCATCTAACAACAACAACAACCACAACCAGAATGCCATTTATTTACTTCCAAAGCTGAGAAGGAGTGTGCTCTGGAGCACGGTCCTACTGGCACTGCGCATACACGTAAGGTGCCAAAGCACCAGAGTCAAGCTCTGTTGTTCCTCTCTCTAGCTTTGGCTGTATTATCTGGCTCTCCAGCCCTTCCCCTGTGCCTTCACTTAGCAACACCCTTCATGGGCTCCTATAAAGCAACACCTCACTGGTATAAATTTCTTTTTCCCTCTCTCTTACTTGGATCCAGCTGGGCAACTTCGTTCTTGTCTGACAGTAGCTGTGAGGCTTTAGTTCCAGGCCTCTCCCAGCTAGGAGAGTTCCCCGGTTGGGTGCAGTGGCTCTGAGAGAGGGTGCGGGAGCCGGGCCCCCAAGCATCACCTGGAGCGAAGGCGAAGGCGGCGCAGGGTGGAGAGGTGCAGCCAGGGGCGGACTGTGGGGTTCGCACAGGCGAAGCCCGGCGGGGCGTGGTGCATAGAATGAAGAGCCCACACCCACCTGGGCTCGCCCCCGGGACTGGCCGGCTTTAGAGGCGGGCGCATGGGAATCCCAGCGCTGGGGTGCAGTTAAGAGAAGACGCGGAGACAGAGGCGGGCGCGTGGGAACTGGAGCGTGGGCGCAGACTCAGGAGAACGTGGTGGCGGGTGGTGGTAGGGGCACAGGGAGCGCAGTGGTCTGACCCATGCTCCTGACCTCGGAAGCACCCCTGGACTCCTCGATGATGCCCTCCCTGTGGAAAGAAATCCTTCTGGAGACCCTCCTGGGTAAGCGGGGGGCCGCCCCTCACCGCACGGTCCTGAGTCCCCGCACACTAGCGACTGGTCTGGCGCCACAGCATTCAGAGAGATTGGCTGAGGTCCGGAAAGAAAAAAAAGGGCGCTCTGTACCCAGAATGGAGATGCCTATCTTCCCCTGGGAACTTTTGCTACCATGCAGGGAGGTAGGGGGTACGAGAGGAAAGAAAAGGTGGGGGGGGGGGAGAATTTCTGTTCTGAAGGGGAAAGTTGGTTGAGGCTTCCACGGTGGCTCTCCACGCGTCAGTCTAGAATCGGTGCAGCAAGGACTTTCTGTACTCCCTCGCCTTTGACCTTGTAAGTTTAATTAATTTTTGATCTGTAACTTCTCGAAGGAGAAGCTTACCAGTTCCCCCACCCTTCTCACTGTTTTTCCTGGGGCTGTCGGTGAGCGCGGAGCTGCAGGTGAGCTGACTGGGCATGGGTGACCTCAGAGGTGTTTGCACGCTTGCTTTGGCTTTTGATGAAAAAGATTGGAGGGAATCCTATTTGCTTACTTAGAGGCCTTGCAAAAACTCCTGAGGACAATTATTAGCGTGATTCTGTCAGAGCTTTAAAGAAGTCAGAGTGAACAGACAAACATGTTTGCGAGATTGCCAGAATGAATTCTGTGGTTGCTATGCACTCGGGAGGGGCAGGCCTGTCCTGAGAACTTTAGTGGGAGTTGGTAAGTCAGGGTTCCTGGTTATTACTTAGTAGCCTTTGGTGGCTTGCTTCATAGGGAACTGCTCTAACCCAAAGCAGTTGGGTGTTCAAATCCACAAGGGGCTCCATCGGAGACAGACGGGCAGTCTCCTCCCATGCGATTTATACAGCCTAAGAAACCCAATGAAGGGTCAGCCTAGAGTTGGTTTTCACTCAACATCGAAGAGTCGGGTTGGTTTGTTTGGAGGACATCCTTGAAAGAGCTCTAGTGGGGAGCTCTGGTGGCCTAGTGGTAAGAAGCAGCACTGCAATCCAAAGGCACATGGTTCAAATCCACCAGCTACTCCTTGGGAGAAGGATGGGCAAACTTTTTCTGTGCAATTAAACTGCCTCTGAAAATTCACTGAAGGCTCACTCTAGCTCAACAGGACACAACCACCACAACAGTGGTTTAGTGCATTAAGAGTCGTGCAGCTCATCAAAAGGTGGTTCAAATGCATTGACTGGTCTAGGGGAAAGGTGAACATTCTTGTCCAGCTGTCCAGATAGACAGCCTAGGAAACCCAATGGAAGGTTTTATGAGTCAGAATCAATTCTGAACTCTCCTTATTTAATGTGTCAGTTAGACTCTTCTAAGTAAAAAATTAAAAACCAAGCAAACAAGCAAAACCCCCCACCCCAACAACAAGAACAACAAACCAACCAGGCACTTAGTGCATCTCACCTCATGGGGACATCATCTCCTAAATCTTTGTTATTAATGCCCTCCGGTGTTCTCACAGTGAGCCCTGTGACAGACTAGAAGTGGTTAGTAAGGCTTTCTGGCTGTAATTAGCAGATCACCTGGCCTTTCTTCCAGGAAGCTGCTGGGTGGGTTTGAACCAGTAACCCTTAGTTGCTTAACCTGTTGGGCCACCCGGGCTTTATATCTCTAAGTATAAACAAAACAGAGCATCAAATCTACTGCTGTCATGAGCCACCAGGTGCCGTTTCCTTCTGAGTTATCCAGAACTCATTGCCACTCTGAAAAGTACTTCTGAAAAACAAAAATGAAGTGGGGGGCATATAGCTCTCTCTGATCTCAAAATATAGTATACAGCTGTAGTAACCGAAACAGCATGGCATTGGTATAATGAGAGACACATAGATCAATGGAACAGAGTTGAGAACCCAGAAATTAACACATCTACCTGTGGTCAATTGGATTTTGACAAAGAAATAAAACATATCAAATGGGGAAATACCAACCTCTTCAACATATGGTGCTTGTAAAACTGGACACCTACCTGCAGGAAACTGAAATAGAATCCACATCTTATACCATTCACAGAAATCAACTCAGGATGGATCAGAGATCTAAGGGTAAAACCCCAAACCCTCAAGATCACAAGACAAAATGGGACCAAACCTAGAAGTCCTACAGTTGTCATTGTTAGATGCCATGGAGTTGAGTACGACTCATAGCAACCCTGTGAACAACAGACCTTGAATCCTGTCCTGCCCGGTGCCATCCTCACTGTCTCTGTTACGCTTAAGCTCATTGCTGCAGTCACTATATCAATCCATCTCATTGGGGTCTTCGTCTCTTTCACCGATCTTCCACCTTTTCAAGCATGATGTACTTTTCCAAGGAATAGCACTGAACATCCCGTGGACCATCAAGAGAACAGACAGATAATGTCTAGGAGAGGGTGCAGCCAGAATGCTCTATGGAGGCAAGAATGATGAGGCTTCGCCTCACATACTTTGGACATGTTGCTAAGAGGGGCTATTCCTTGGAGAAGGACATGATGCCGGGAAGGGTGGAGGGTTGGCAAAGGAGAAGACCCTCAACCAGGTGGATTGATAGGGTGACTGCTGCAATGGGTTGTTGTGTGTCAAGAATTGTGATGATGGAGCAGGGCAGGACTGGATTCAGATCTTTTGTTCATAGGGTTTGTATGAGTTGTACTTGACTCAATGGCACCTAGTAACAACAACAAGCAATATGTCCGAAGTATGTGAGCTGAAGTGTCACCACCCTTGCCTCCAAGGAGCACTCTGGCTTCATTTTTCCCAAGACATACCTGTTTGTTCTTTTGACAATCCAGGAGATGTTCAGTGCTCTTTTCCAACATCACAGTTCAAAGGCATCACTTCTCCTGCCATCCTTATTAATTGTTGAGCTCTCAGATCCACAGCAAGTGATTGAAGAGACCACGGCCTATATCAGGAGTACCTTAGTCCTCAAACTGACATCATTGCTTCTCAGTAATTTGGAGAGATACTTGACAGTGAGCTTCCCCAATACAATACATCTCCTGATCTCCTGACTGCTGAGACCAAGGGTGTTGACTATGGACCCAAGTCAGATGAAAAGAATTTGCTCAATGTGCAGATTAAATAGATATGGAGAAAGGCTACCACCCTGATGTACACTTTTCCTGATTTTAAATCATGCAGTGTTCCTTTGTTCTGTTCAGATAACAGGTTCTTGCTGTAGGTTTCACATGAGCACAATTAAGTGTTTTATGATTCCCATTCTTCTCAATGTACTTTAAGGAAATCAGAACTGAAATATGAACAGAGGTACATTCATCTATGTTCATAGCAGTTTTATTCACAATAGCAAGAAGATGGAAATAGCCCAAATGTCCATCAGCAAACAAGTGGATCAAGACATTGTAGTACATTTACAGAACAGAATACTATTCAGCACTAAGGTACAACAATAACCTCATAAAATACTATATAACAAGGGAGAGGATAGAGTAGATGAAATCAGTCTCATAAGGACAAATAATGCATAAGACTGTTACTGTAAGCAGAAGAATAGCTGAGCAAGATGTGTATAAATAATCAAAAAAGGAAGGGGACAAAGATAAAGAGGTCGCAAAAGTGGGAGGAGGGGATCACTAGGATAACAGATGAGGGGGATGATAGTATAGGAAAGATTCAATGGGGACTTGAAAAGATGGGGTAGTGATAGGCATGGCTCAGTAAGTAATGATAAGTTGTTGTTGTTAATTGCCTTCAAGTTGAGCACGACTTATAGCGACCCTATGAACAAAAGGCCTGAAGCCCCTCTATTGCTATTGACATTTATCAAAGTTCATAGAGTTTCTGGAGGCATGGTGTTTAGGAAGTGGTCACCACTTCTGCTTCCAACCCTGAGAATAGAAGGTTATTGGTTGAGTTGCCCAACGATCTACAGTTAATATATACATTATATGATATATACTAATGCTATACAATAGTAATAATGATATACACTGTATATGAATGATTGTATAAAGAACAATGTACGTGAATGAAACATAATGTAAATAAGTGTGTAAAACACAATGTACACACATGAAACACAGTGTATATTAATGATTGTATGCCAGGCTACTCCTTGGAGGCAAAGATTCTGGGGCTTCGTCTGACATACTTTGGACATGTTGCAAGGAGAGACAGGTCTTTGGAGAGGGACATCATGCTGGGTAGAGTAGAGGGACAGCGCAGGAGAGGAAGACCCTCTATGAGGTGGATTGATTCCGTGACTGGGGTAATCGGGATGGGTGTGTCAGAGGCAATGCGATTGGCACAGGACAGAGTGGCGGTTAGGGCTGTTTTACATAGGGTCGCTATGAGTTGCAAACGACTCGACGGCACATAACAACAACAACAACAACAACATGCAAACCAATAAAATGTGAGTAAGAAAACCCCCCAAACTCATTGCTATTGAGTAAGAACTGACTCAGAACTGACTCCAGTGGATTTTTGAGCTATGGATTACCCATTTTTCTCCTTCAGAGCCTCTGGTGGATTCAGATTGTCAGAGAGGCAGCACCTTTGGGCAAGCAGTCCAAGTGCCTATGGACTAGGCCACCAGAGCTCCCCTATCTTCTGAGTCTCCCGAACAACTCCTTGCTGTCCAGTTGGAATCAGGTCATAGCTGGCCTCATCCTAGTTGAGCTCCCATAGTTAGTAAATTGAACAGGAGGAGACTGCCCATCTATCCTCCTGAGGAGCAGCTGGTGGGTGCCAACCTCCCACCTTTGGGTTGGCAGGGCCGCTGTCATCAGGCCACCAGAGAAGAGGGTAGCATTTAGCAAGAATCTAGAGTTCCAGATAAAAATGCCAATCTCTTTAAATCCTGCCACCAACTCTGTAGAAGGCCCTGATGGTGCCAAGCCTGGGATGTGAACTAAAAGGTTGGAGGCTTGAGTCCCACCGGAGGCAGCCAGGAAGAAAGACCTGGTGATGTGTTTGAAAGGTCAGCTGTTGAAAACCCTGCGGAGCACAGCCATACTCTGACACCTGCGAGGTGGCTGCTGGGGGTGAGAATGGACTCTAAGCAGCTGGTCTTAGCTTGCAACTTTGATATCACTAACTACCCCGATTATTCTGGTTAAGAAAGGTAGGATGAAGGAGGTAACCTGGGAGAAAGTTACCATTCGTAATGGCTAGACGAGGCTGCCTATGGAGCCGGACCACCTGCATTGTTCATTGTGCCATTTGCTACTTGTTATGACCTTCAGTTACTTAACCTTCTGAGTGGCAGGGGTTTTATTTTGAAAAGGGGTGTGTGTGTGTGTGTGTGTGGGTGCGTGTGTGTGTGTGTGTGTGGGTGCGTGTGTGTGTGTGTGTGCTCACGCGTGCACTGCATTTATAAAAGAGGAGTCAAAATTGTATCAGTGTCCTAGGACTAGGCCTTGTTAAAGGGGTAAGAGAATGGAGCATGTTAAAAAAGACTTAGCAGAGAGTTCAACACATGATTAAGTGTCCATGCCTATCATCGTGTTGCACAGGCAGGAGGTTACAGTCAGTGCAGTTGAGAAAAATGAAACTGGCTTCAAATCCAAATGTGCCAACACATCACAGTACCTCGTAAGGGTTGGGTTTTAAATATATTTAAATGGCAAAATATTATTGTCCTAACCAAAGTGCCTTTGGGTGTAGTCTGAGGAGGGAGTCCATATGTCCATTGTTCGCTTTGATTTCCATATTCTACATCACTCATACACGAATTCATTGTAAGTTCGTAAGTACCAACTCAAAGCTGACCTTCCACAGGGTTTCTGAAGTTGTAAATGAAACTGGAAGATATTGCTTAATATTAAGCAGGAGTCAAGCTATGTAAAGTCATTTTATCCAGTAGGATAAAATTCACCCCTGATGGTTCAAATGACAGAAGTGGATTTAATAAAGGCACTATCTACAAACAGAGTTAAAAAAGATTAACAGGGGATGTTGTGGGTCTTTGAAACAACAAAGTTAGCCATTCTCAACCTGGGCCTTACAGGAAAATGGAGGAATTACATTACTCACCTAAGACCACAGTCATGAGGGCAGGTAAGTTGCTTGACACAAACATAGAGGTTAGTGCAAAAAGTTTCCTTCCTCCCTCAAAAATTACATCTCTCCCTTTCTTTTAAAAATTTCTTATAGGCTACATTTCCTGGTCTCTCTTCCATGCCCTGGGACCCATGATCTACTACTTCCCTCTGCAAACACTAGAACTCACTGGACTAGAAGGTTTTTGTATAGTCTTCCTTTCTCCGATATTCCTAACCATTCCTCCTGTCTGGAAATTGGCTAATAAGAAATGGATGTTAACCCTGTTGCGGATAATTACTGTTGGTAAGTTTTGGAAGTGTATCTTTAAGATTTTTTTTGTTGTTGTTAAAATTCAAGTGCAGAAAACAAAGATAATATGATAACAAATAGGCATAAATATGGTCTAATAGTTTCCTTTACAAAGAAAAATCATAAAGTGCAATTATATAAACTCTTCTTTGAAAGGTGATGCTTGAGTTAAAAAGCAAAGATTTATCTTTCACCACTTTTTAAAGAATTGTAGTAAAATTGGGATATCAAATGAAGAATAAAGACGTTTCATGTTTTAATTTTTCTTTCAGGTTTGAAAAGTTTAAAACCCATTTGAAAGAGGAAGAGGATGATATCCTCCTCCTGGATAACTATGAACTGGATAACTCTTAAATATGTTGTTGTTGTTGTTGTTATTCTTATTGTTGTTAAGTGCTGTCGAGTCGTAGACGACCCATAGCGACTCTATGAACAAAAGACCTGAACAATTGTATAACTTTCATCATTTCTCCAAGTTCATAGAGTTTCCAGAGACAAGCTCTTTTGGAAGTGGATGCCACTCCTGCTTCCAAGCTTGTTTTAATTGGGAAGCTTCAAGAAATACTGTCCACCATGGATACCCATTATTGCATTTGATATTTCGGTGTCACAGTGTTTAGCATCACAGCAACCATGAGTTACCTCTGTACAGCAAATGGACAGACCAGGACTATACCACTTAAAAAAATGTTTGACCAAAAATGATTAAAACCAAGCCTGGAGGCAGCAAATTAAAATCAACCACCTTTGACTTGATCTCATACCTTTCTATCCACCAGGCCCACAGAGTTCTATGTTGGTGTTGTTTTAAAAAGTATAATGTTGTTATGTGCTTTCAAGTCACTTGCAACTCATACCAACCCTATGTACAACAGTTCTGAACCCTGCTCTATCCTGAGCCAGCCTTATCATTTCTGACACACTTTCCCCACTACCCGTCACTGAATCAATCCATCTCATCCAAGGTCTTCCTCTCTTGCGCTGTCCCTCTACTCTCCCAAGCATGATGTCCTTCTCAAAGGACTGGTCCCTCCTTGCATCATGCCCAAAGTATGTCAGATGAAGCTTCAGAATCCTTGCTTCTAAGGAGCAACCTGGCTTCACCCTCACCTGTATGAACCTGTTTGTTCTCCTAGCAGTCCATGGTATACTCAATACTCTTCTCCAGCACCATAGCTCAATGGCATCAGTTCTCTTTTTATCATCCCTAGTAATTCATTTAAAAGGGTTGTTAACTAATATCACATGTTGCTGTGTACCTTAGAGTCAGAAGTGACCCATAGCTGACCCTCCAGGGGGTTTCAGGGCTGTAAATCACACAGGAGCTGACTACCCATCTTTCTCCCATGGAGCAGCTAGTGAATTTGAAACGTACATTTGTACTGGCAGCACAATTCCTTAACACTAAGCCAAGAGAACATAGAAAAGACAAAACCTATGCATGTTAATAAACACAACAGTAAGAAAAGCCAAATAATAAAATAGGTAAAAAACCTATGCATGATAATAAACACAACAGTAAGAAAAGCCAGATAATAAAATAGGTAAAAATACTGTGATTGTTGCTATGTACCGTTATATCCAGTGACACTGATGTGCCAAACGTGGTAATGGGTACCCATGGCGGACAGTGTTGGCTGGAGCTTCCCAAATAAAACAAGCCTGGAAGCGGGAGCGGCATCCTCTTCCTAAATGGCTTGCCTCTGGAAACTTTATGTACGAACAGTGCTCAGGCTGTTCATTCATAGGGTCGCTATGAGTCATCTACGACTCGACGGCACCTAACAACAACAACAACCGTTATATCAGAACCGACTCATGGCTTAATTCTCTAGCAAATACATTTCCAGAGGTTGTATATTACCAGGAAGGAGATTACCTTCTTCCTCCTATGGAACAGCTGGTGGATTTGAACCATGAGCCTTTTGGGTGACAGCACAACTCCATAATGTATCTTCTATTCCAAGGATTAATTTCCATCGTATACATGCCAAAAATATGCTTATTTTGATAAAGACTTGAGATTTTTGTATCTTAGTAACTGTTACGAAACTTTGAAGAAGTATCTTTAGTTTTTGAAAAGTAAGATCTTGAGGTCATGGTTAAAAATAAAACCACCAGACTCTAGCCTGGTTGAATCTCTACCTGGAAGCTCTGGATTCTGACTTTCTGCTGTACCTTGGCTAGTTTTCCTGAGATGTTCTTAAAATGATATTTGTTCATGTTATTGATATTGCTAGGTGCCATTAGTCAACCACAACTCAGTGGGTCCTATGAACAACACATCTGGACCCTGTCCTATCCTGTGTCACCCTCACAATCTGTGACACTCTTGAGGCCACAGCTGCAGCCACTGTGTAATCCACCTAGTGAGGGTCTTCTGTGCCTCCGTTGTTCCTCCACCTTTCCAAGCACACATTTGTTCATGAGTCAAGCTCTAGCATTTTGTGTTGACAGTCTGGTGACTTGGTTCTGAAACAGTCATGGGAATCATGATGTGTTTACCATCTGCTTTTCTGAGTCTGGCCCTGAAGAAGGCTGAAATAGCTTAGAGATTTGGGGTTACCCAAGTATGTTGTTGTTGTTATGTGCCATCAAGTCGCTTGAGATTCCTAGCAACCCTA